GTTGAGCTTTGCTCTTTCGGCCCGCCTCTCAACTGTCAATCAACTGTTACTGACTACTATTTTTTTCCTACACACAAACACATACCCAAGAAGCAGCTCCGTAACAGCTGTCTAACTCCCAGGTACCTATTTACTGCTAGGTAACATAGGGCATTTAGGGTGAAAGAAGCTTTGCCCATTTGTTTCTGCCTGGTCCGGGAATCGAACCCGGACTGCGCACTGTCCACTCAGCTACCAGACCCCCCCCCCTGTGTGTGTGTGTGTGTGTGTGTGTGTGTGTGTGTGTGTGTGTGTGTACTCACCTAGTTGTGCTTTGACTCTTTGTCCCCGCCTCTCAACTGTCAATCAACTGGTGTACAGGTTCCTGAGCCTACTGGGCTCTACCATATCTTCATTTGAAACTGTGTATGGAGTCAGCCTCCACCACATCACTGCCTAATGCATTGCACCTGTTAACTACTCTAACACTGAAAATGTTCTTTCTAATGTCTCTGTGGCTCATTTGGGCACTCAGTTTCCACCTGTGTCCCCTTGTTCGCGTACCACCAGTGTTAAATAATCCATCCTTGTCTACCCTGTCAATTCTTCTGAGAATTTTGTATGTTGTGATCATGTCTCCCCGTGCTCTTCTCTCTTCCAGAGACTCTACAATACTGGGGAGTATCGTAGTAAAGCAAGGGGTTAATTTTCAATAAAATTGACAAAGTTGTTGAAGAACTTAAGCGGCAACACTCACGCAGGTACAGAACAAAGAGTAAAAGCATATTTTTGGTATACAAAGTCGTAATTTAAAACCCATATGTGCAATGAGCTAAAATTTGGCTCAAAAATAACGCCCAAGAGTCATGTTTCCGATAGACATAGTATTGTGAAAACTGCAGGTCAGTTTGGGCAAAACTGACCTATGGCCGTTTTCACTACTTTTGCGGGATCACAAAGTAAAGGTATAGCAGACTCGCAGGAAACAGAGAAGAACGGGAACTGGGAGAACCGTATACAAACAATAGTGGACAAAGAGAGAGTCGACGAAGGGGGCAATAAATTAACAGAGATATTAAAGCAACAGCAAGCGACCCTGGGGAGAAATTAAACTTAGGGAAAGTTCACAACTCTGAGGAGGAAGGAACTCTCCACAGTCAACTCTGGGGAGGAAGGAGCTCTCCACAGTCAACTCTGAGGAGGAAGGAACTCTCCACAGCCAACTCTGAGGAGGAAGGAGCTCTCCACAGTCAACTCTGAGGAGGAAGGAACTCTCCACAGCCAACTCTGAGGAGGAAGGAGCTCTCCACAGTCAACTCTGAGGAGGAAGGAACTCTCCACAGTCAACTCTGGGGAGGAAGGAACTCTCCACAGTCAACTCTGAGGAGGAAGGAGCTCTCCACAGTCAACTCTGAGGAGGAAGGAGCTCTCCACAGTCAACTCTGGGGAGGAAGGAACTCTCCACAGTCAACTCTGGGGAGGAAGGAACTCTCCACAGTCAACTCTGAGGAGGAAGGAGCTCTCCACAGTCAACTCTAGGGAGGAAGGAACTCTCCACAGTCAACTCTGAGGAGGAAGGAACTCTCCACAGTCAACTCTGGGGAGGAAGGAACTCTCCACAGTCAACTCTAGGGAGGAAGGAACTCTCCACAGTCAACTCTGAGGAGGAAGGAGCTCTCCACAGTCAACTCTGAGGAGGAAGGAACTCTCCACAGCCAACTCTGGGGAGGAAGGAACTCTCCACAGTCAACTCTAGGGAGAAATGAACTCTCCACAGTCAACTCTGAGGAGGAAGGAGCTCTCCACAGTCAACTCTGAGGAGGAAGGAACTCTCCACAGCCAACTCTGGGGAGGAAGGAACTCTCCACAGTCAACTCTGGGGAGGAAGGAACTCTCCACAGTCAACTCTAGGGAGGAATGAACTCTCCACAGTCAACTCAGAGGAGGAAGGAGCTCTCCACAGTCAACTCTGAGGAGGAAGGAACTCTCCACAGTCAACTCTGAGGAGGAAGGAACTCTCCACAGTCAACTCTAGGGAGGAATGAACTCTCCACAGTCAACTCTGAGGAGGAAGGAACTCTCCACAGTCAACTCTGAGGAGGAAGGAACTCTCCACAGTCAACTCTAGGGAGGAATGAACTCTCCACAGTCAACTCAGAGGAGGAAGGAGCTCTCCACAGTCAACTCTGAGGAGGAAGGAACTCTCCACAGTCAACTCTGAGGAGGAAGGAACTCTCCACAGTCAACTCTGAGGAGGAAGGAACTCTCCACAGCCAACTCTGAGGAGGAAGGAGCTCTCCACAGTCAACTCTGAGGAGGAAGGAACTCTCCACAGCCAACTCTGAGGAGGAAGGAGCTCTCCACAGTCAACTCTGAGGAGGAAGGAACTCTCCACAGCCAACTCTGAGGAGGAAGGAGCTCTCCACAGTCAACTCTGAGGAGGAAGGAACTCTCCACAGTCAACTCTGGGGAGGAAGGAACTCTCCACAGTCAACTCTGAGGAGGAAGGAGCTCTCCACAGTCAACTCTGAGGAGGAAGGAACTCTCCACAGTCAACTCTGGGGAGGAAGGAACTCTCCACAGTCAACTCTAGGGAGGAAGGAACTCTCCACAGTCAACTCTGAGGAGGAAGGAGCTCTCCACAGTCAACTCTAGGGAGGAAGGAACTCTCCACAGTCAACTCTGAGGAGGAAGGAACTCTCCACAGTCAACTCTGGGGAGGAAGGAACTCTCCACAGTCAACTCTAGGGAGGAAGGAACTCTCCACAGTCAACTCTGAGGAGGAAGGAACTCTCCACAGTCAACTCTGAGGAGGAAGGAACTCTCCACAGCCAACTCTGGGGAGGAAGGAACTCTCCACAGTCAACTCTAGGGAGGAATGAACTCTCCACAGTCAACTCTGAGGAGGAAGGAGCTCTCCACAGTCAACTCTGAGGAGGAAGGAACTCTCCACAGCCAACTCTGGGGAGGAAGGAACTCTCCACAGTCAACTCTGGGGAGGAAGGAACTCTCCACAGTCAACTCTAGGGAGGAATGAACTCTCCACAGTCAACTCAGAGGAGGAAGGAGCTCTCCACAGTCAACTCTGAGGAGGAAGGAACTCTCCACAGTCAACTCTGAGGAGGAAGGAACTCTCCACAGTCAACTCTAGGGAGGAATGAACTCTCCACAGTCAACTCTGAGGAGGAAGGAACTCTCCACAGTCAACTCTGAGGAGGAAGGAACTCTCCACAGTCAACTCTAGGGAGGAATGAACTCTCCACAGTCAACTCAGAGGAGGAAGGAGCTCTCCACAGTCAACTCTGAGGAGGAAGGAACTCTCCACAGTCAACTCTGAGGAGGAAGGAACTCTCCACAGTCAACTCTAGGGAGGAATGAACTCTCCACAGTCAACTCTGAGGAGGAAGGAACTCTCCACAGTCAACTCTGAGGAGGAAGGAACTCTCCACAGTCAACTCTGAGGAGGAAGGAACTCTCCACAGTCAACTCTGGGGAGGAAGGAACTCTCCACAGTCAACTCTAGGGAGGAAGGAACTCCACAGTCAACTCTGAGGAGGAAGGAACTCTCCACAGTCAACTCTGAGGAGGAAGGAGCTCTCCACAGTCAACTCTAGGGAGGAAGGAACTCTCCACAGCCAACTCTGAGGAGGAAGGAACTCTCCACAGTCAACTCTGAGGAGGAAGGAACTCTCCACAGTCAACTCTGAGGAGGAAGGAACTCTCCACAGTCAACTCTGGGGAGGAAGGAACTCTCCACAGTCAACTCTGAGGAGGAAGGAACTCTCCACAGTCAACTCTGGGGAGAAAGAAACATTCCAACTGTATACTATGTGGACATGAGCTTGGCCAGACTCTCCAACACTATATCTGTGATTGTCCTTTTATCAGTGACTTCAGACCAAATGGTATGGGGTACTTTGAGCTCTATAATTACTTCATACACTCAGGAATATTGGAAGATATTCTTCTGCTGTACCCAGAGTGTGTTAGTGAAGCCTTAGCATTCCATGTTCTCTCCTGATTCCATGTATGACTAACCATCCTGTGAAATACGAATATTAGATGAGCTTATAGCTATTTTTTTTATCTACAGTGTGTAATCTTGCATACAGAATAGGGTAGCAGCACATTGCTGTGTATACCTAAGCTTGTTAATAAAAAGTTGCATCTTTGGAAGCTGCAGTGTTCATAGAAGGATGCGAATTGCACACAGTATTCCAGATGCAGTCTGGTGTTCATGTGAGGAGGAGGGGGGGAAGAGGAGAAAGACATGGGGAAGGAAGACGAAGTAGAAGAGGAGATAGTGGAACAGGTGCTGTAATAGTAATAGGAGGAGATTTGAAGAACCGTCCGTAGCCTCATGAGACTCTGCTAAGTATAAATATATGGAACAACTGTCCCAAATCATTGACATAATACTCTTAAAATGGATCCAGAACGCGTGCGGCAAATTAGTATTTTAACGCCCTGACGCCACGTTCAATGTATTCTGCGTTTACTGCTGGTCTGCGGTGCCCTTTTTTTCTAGATTTCCAGATCGATCCTCTGTACGCTCGCGAAATTCTCTGCAACGGACCCATACAGCTGCAATGATCACGTTTTAATGTGGCTCGAAAATATACTAAATATTACCGTAGAGTACAAGTGCTCACTTAAGAGCTCATGTACCCATACTGACAAATTCAATAGAGTTTTAGAAGTAATTTGTGTATACTGAAGAGAATTAGGATACAGATGGTAAGGGTGGAAAACGGAACAGCTGCTCCCACTGGGATGGGAGGCGGGGGGAGGGGAGGGGGATACGATCCTGCCGGACGCACGAACATCCAAAAATCGATTTTGATTCGCGCACATCGCCAAGAATACAATTAGTGCCATCGATGACTTCATGTATATGAAGGTTATTGGATGGATTTATCTCCGTGACGATGAAGGTAGCTGTCAAGAAGATGAAATGCTGTTTGAAATGGTATGATAAGCCTGGGAGGGTGAAGCAGGAGCCGGCACCGTGAGACAGGGAGTCGTGTGTTGCTGTGTGTGGCGGCGGGTGTGTGTCTGTGTCCCTCGACACCCAGCATGAAAGTGTAGTGTGTGACGCCCCCCAAGGCTCTCTAAACCCAAACTCGAGCTCTCGAGAGTTGGACGAGAGGGAACCCTCGCCTCCCCCAGTATTCCCCCCCCCCACTAACACTAAGTGGGGTGTTTGGCAGTCAGTTTAGTGTGTTAGTGGAGGATGGCGAGGAGGGTGATGGTGGCCGTGATGATGGTGATGATGCTGCTGCTCCTGGACGTTACCTCGGCTGCTGCAGAGTCCTGCGCCGCCGTCAGGAGTGTCTACCGCACCCAGGGCTTCCGGGATGCCGTGCCGCAGCAACCAATACCAGGTGAGAGAAGCTCAGAGAGAAGCTGAGATCTACTGGCGACGTGCTGGCTCTCCCAGCCCGTCCTCCAGACACATTCCTCCACCACACATCCCCTACAAGATATACATTATTACTCTACAGTCACCGAGGCGTTGGTAGCCTACAGCTGGCCACCTGCCGGAGGCTAAGCCCCCCGGAATGTGTACCAGCTGCAAGGTTCTTTGTACGGCCTGGCAGTGGAGCAGAGCACCTTTAACAGCCTAATATAGCGGCCGCCCAAGCCCGCTTCCACCACCACTACACTAATTACCTACAGCCTATTACTTTCTATAATAATTGTCAGCCTTTCCAGGCTTCAAATTAAGCGGAGGTTCAGCTAGATTTTACCAGGCTCCAAATAGGCACCGTGTTATAGGCCTAAGAGGTCTAGTTGACGCTTAGTAGGCTCCAAGAGTTAGGGTCGAGTAGGTCTAGGAGGCATAGTCAACTTTAGCAAGGGTCAAATTAAGGTAGGCCTTAGAGGTTTAGTCAGCGTCCACAAGGGACAAGGTTAAGGGTACGTCTACGAGGCCTAGTCATCGTTCAGGCGCCAAGTTAGGGTGGACCTAAGACTTCTAGCCAACAGGCGCCAAGTTAGGGTAGGCATAAGACTTCTAGCCAACATATAACAGGCGCCAAGTTAGGGTAGGCATAAGACTTCTAGCCAACATATAACAGGCGCCAAGTTAGGGTAGGCATAAGACTTCTAGCCAACATATAACAGGCGCCAAGTTAGGGTAGGCATAAGACTTCTAGCCAACATAACAAGCACCAAATTGAACTGGCAGTGTTGCTCCTCGTGAGGCTTTGGGCACACTAGCTATTGCCTGTTCTTTTATCAAAGTTGTCGAGGAAAATATGTAGCGTTTAATTTCACGAAAGTTAACAAGGGATAGTAATGGTGAGGGTCGGGATGGGGCCGTTCTGGGACCAGCAGCCACCGCGAATCAAAACTAAACTCGATCAAATTGACGTTAATGAAGATTGCTGTTCTGTATAGTCTGACGGCACATTCACAGCGGTACATTCGTATGTGCTACGACTATTACATTACACATCTCAAACTGCACAACCTTACATTACACATCTCATCTCAGCTGCCCTCAGCTCCCCAAGGCGTTACAGTACTGTGACGTGCTTGTCTCTGAAGCTAGATACAGATATGATGAAATAATCAATGATGGAGTTCAGAGTTTGTCTCCTGTGGATTCCTTCCCATATTGGTCTTCGAATGCATGATAGAACTGATGAGTTAGCCAAGACTTTTGTTCATAAAGAGGGAATTAATTACCATCTTGGACTGCCTTTGAGCAGCCTGAGGGCAGTAATATTCCGGGAACATCAACAAAATCTCGTAGACTTGAGGCAAAATGAAATTCACACCAGTTGCTCCATCAATCACCATTCTATTATACAGGAAGAACCGCACGTCTATGGGTCGTGCAATAAGGTTAGCAGACTTCTAGATGTTACCACTGCTAGGCTTAGGCTCGGCTACAAGTACCTCTGGGAGTTTGTAACATCTGCTGATGTAGACTTCACTAAATGTAAACTCTGTCAGAAGAACTATTCGCATACTTTGCGTCATTATAAAATGGAATGTGAAAAAATAGCGGAATTCAGAGATAACACTATCAATGGTATTCAAGAAATGTGTAAATACTTCATTCATAATGATATACTGTTTACTGTAGGTAATACTGCACATGACTGTAAAGCTGCCGCCCAGTTGGGTGGGTGTGGAGCAAGACTAGTAACTGTGTGACCCACCATAGATGTAAAGTGCCTTGTATAGTGACTGTTGTGAGCCTCTTGTTGAATCACTTGTGATATAAAAAGTATATACATATATATATAATGTATTTGTGTAAATGATTGCATATATGTACATGTGTATATACCATTAATAATTGTATAACTAGCTTCAAAAGGTTGTCACCTGCTTAGCTAAATGAACTAAGGGGTTCAAGTCCAGAACCGATTTTGTGCCTCTGTAACCCTTTCCAGCACCGCCCATGGGATGGGTATGGGGTACATAATAAAGCAAGAACCAATCAATCAGCGTTGGCAATTAAACTTCAGCTATATCTTGTTCTTGTTAGGCCGCATTTCAATGGATGCAACTCAGTTTTGGACGCCATGCTGGACCTAGTTTGCAATCAGGCAGTTGTGCCTGCCCCCGCAGGCACAACTAGACGAATACACACACACACACACACACACACACACACACACACACACACACACACACACACACACACACACACACACACACACCGCTGTGTGTGTGTGTATGGGCCAATAGGCCTTCTGTTATTACCTTTATTCTTATGTTCTTAAGCACAAGACGAAGCTGGAAAAAGTTCAGAGGTATGCCACTAGGCTAGTCCCAGAACTAAGAGGCATGGGTTATGAGAAAGACTGCGTGAACTGCACCTCTCGTCGCTGGAAGACAGAAGAGCTCGGGAAGACATGCTCACCACATACAAAATTCTCAGGGGAATGAACAGGGTAGACAAGGATGGATTGTTTAACACGGGTGGTACACGCACAAGGGGACACAGGTGGAAGCTGAGTACCCATATGAGCCAAAGAGACATTAGAAATAACTTTTTCAGTGTCAGAGTAGTTAGTAAATGGAATGCACTAGGAAGTGATGTGGTGGAGGCTGACTCCATACAGTGTCAAATGTAGATATGATAGAGTTGGAGAAGCTCAGAAAACCGTACACCAATATATTGACTGTTGAGAGGGAAGTTAAAAATTGGACAGAAGTAGGGAGTAAAGAACTGGATTTATTTCCTCATTCGCGATTAAAAAATAATGTACGTAAAACACTCAAGGGATTAGAGAGCCAGTACACCAATTAATTGAAAGTAGAGTTGTCTGGCCTAAGAGCTGAAGACAACGCCTGCAAGCACAGATAAGCTGTGTGTACTGTAAATGCATTATGCAGCTTTAAATACAGTTTTACTTAATAATGTAAGTTTTCTTTTTTACTAACACTTCAGATGGTATCGAAGCCAATATTTCGTCACTGGTTGGGTAATGTTTCCTTTTAATTTTGGACTAGAGGTTTATGGCTAGCATAATAAATATTGCCGGAACAACCGTGGACATCTTCAAGAGGAAACTAGATTGTTTTCTCCAAGGAGTGCCGGACCAACCGGGCTGTGGTGGGTATATGGGCCTGCGGGCCGCTCCAAGCAACAGCCTGGTGGACCAAACTCTCACAAGTCAAGCTTGGCCTCGGGCCGGGCTTGGGGGGAGTAGAACAACTCCCAGAACCCCACCAACCAGGTATCATATCTAATATGAGTTTGTCTATGGGAAATTATTTTTGTTCTAAAATTGATCTGCGCTGAATTTGCCCCACATTTTGTATAGGCCTTGTGTCGAGTGACAAATAGTTTTATCAGATAAACTGCAGACGGATGACGCTCTTCATAATGTGATATTTCTGGCATAAGCCTAATTCGTAATATTTTGGTGTACGTACACCCATACTTACACTCATGTACACATGCCCACACTTACAGTGATGTACACTTCCCACGAGTGCAGTGATGTACACTCCCGTACCTGGTTGATGGGGTTCTGGGAGTTCTACTCCCCAAGCCGGGCCCGAGGCCAGGCTTGACGTGTGAGAATTTGGTCTACCAGGCTGTTGCTTGCAGCTGCCCGCAGGCCCACATTCCCACCACAGCCCGGTTGGTAGTCATTACACTGATGTACACTTACCAAGAATACACAGATATACATACAATAAAGTTACATCAGTCGATAAATTTTGTTATATTTTATGTTTGGTCTAAATTTTGTCACTACGTATTAACTGACAACTAAAGCACAGTACCATAACAAACTGAGTATTGCTTAGGGAAAACAATTACATATAAGATTATAATGACGATAATATAAATGCAAATATATTGGCTATAATCATTTCTCGACTTTTAAGAGTGATAAAGATACCGATGGTGAATCATTGCTAGATAAAATCCCTTGGTAGTTGCTTTGAAGTTGCCGAGCGATAACATGTCTCGCTAGTGCATGGCGTATTGCTATCGTAATGTGATATCTTAGTGTAACATAGCACAGCCCTCCTGTAGCCTAACAAGGCCCAAGTGTTCTCACACTGCTCTAGTGTTGGATAGTTCAAGTGTTCTCAAAGTTTTATATTGGAGTTTCGTGAGATATATATATATATATAATATAATATATATATATATATATATATATATATATATATATATATATATATATATATATATATAACCAGTATATATATATATGGCCAGTACCTACCTCCATTACAGCACACGTGAAAGCGGTGGTGCTGCTTCTTTCAGGGAATCGCAGAAAATTATTAAATACAGAGGTCTAGCACACTGCTACAGCTTTGTTCCGATCGGCTCGGAGACCCTCGGTTCGTGGGGAAAATGTGCATTGAAGTTCCTGAAGGAATTGGGGGACAAATTGATCAGCGCTACAAAAGACCAGAGAGCAAAAAGTTTCTTGTTCCAGCGCCTCAGTGTTGCGATTCAGAGGGGAAATGCCTGTTGCGTCTTGGGCACTAGTCCAACCTCAGAGGAATTCGAAGAAGTGTTTGACTTGCAACAATGATCGAACCCGTCTGTGACATTCATCAATGTTTCCCATTGTTGTGTTTTTCAAGAGATCCATAACCTTTAAGCACCTTTTTGCATTATTATTTTTGTATCAACCCATGTATATCTTGTAACCATCAAATGCATAATAAAGCACAAAAAATAAAAAAGGAAGGGGGTGGTAGGAGAAAAGCACACAGAAACTGTATTGGAAGGGATCTAAACATTCCCTCTAATGCGTTATGCGTGGTTTCCTCCGAGGCTATGGGTCCCCCTTCTTCCAGCTAGAGGTGGTACTCCCTTCCATATATTAAAAAATATATATATATATATATATATATATATATATATATATATATATATATATATATA